ATGCACACCGATAAATCGGTGTGCCACACCTCGCTTGGAATACGAGGTCGCCGACCCACAACTAATTACCTCACACCCTCTTACGAGCGGCGAGGTAATTTTTCGCATCACACCACGAGCGATTTTACGACTTAACTGCGTATCTTGCGACGAGCGCTCAGGGTCAAACCCACGCCCTCGCCTTCCACACCCGATGGACTTTCATCCACCATCACATACGGGGAAAGGTATAAGTATCACCCTTCTCCCCCCGTCCTGACGAGTTGATCATAGGTCAACGAAACAAACGATCAATCTCTTTTGATTATTGTCGACACTTTGTTTCTCACGATACCACAACTCTCACGTCCCCTTCCCATCAGCACAGCTGTCCGCCCGGCTCACCCAAATTGTGTTGGGAGCAGGTAGGGGTGAGGGTATGAGACGGTGGCTGGGTAGCGAGGTGGAAAGACGCAATTAATCCGGGGCAGCTCAAGTCGCTGCAAGCGCCCATGAGCCCACTTAGGTAGTGATTTTGGGATTTATGTTCAGGTGGAGCAGTTGCGAGGTGGAGTGGTCCGCGGTAGTGTATTTTAAATAGTTTATTTTAAGGGGACGTGGGGGAGACTGATTGTATGCTGGTGTTGGCAGTACTAGTATAAGTAAAATTAGGTTGAATTCTAAGTACTTTTCCTTCTTCTTTCACCCCGTGTCGGTAGTGACGGATCGGTGTCGATCCAATCAGAGACCTTGATTTCTATCTCACGATAGGCTTCAAGTCTTTAACTTCGAACACCTTTCGGAGTCTTCATTGTTATACCTCCTCCTACATTTGCTCGAAGTCCTTTCTTCCTTCTGGTTATCCTTTTGGTTGTTCACTACGGTTGCCTCCTCACGGTCACAATGGCTAAGTGAGCTTCCGCCCCCTCCGACACGTCCGCTCTACGTTTGTAGGTATAAAGTGGTTATGTCTTATGCCTTCGAGAAGAACGTCGCCCTAGAGGCTGAAGTCTCTCCCTTTCGGCATCACATCTCCATCCTTTCTCAGCGATTTCATTGCGCTAAGAAAGAGATATCGACCTTGTTGGCTGCCCTGGCCTCTGAACGCAATACAGTTGGCGGTTTGATCACAATTCTGGCAGTTGAAGCTCTTATAGTTATCCCCTCTTCACCTGTCCCCTCGGTCGCTTTAGTTACTACGGTGGTCTCGGTTAAGGGGTGTGGGCTAGATCCTAAGAATTCTCAGGATCCAGTGGAGGAGCTCCCTCAGGAGAATGTTACACCGCCAGTTATCCCGGCCCCTCCTGCAGCTTCGGTTGTGGATGGTGGTGTGGGTGGGCCGTTTCCTGATTCGTCACGTCTGGTTGAGGTGCTTGCTCCTGGTGTGAGTAAGGTGGATTCTGGTATGGTGACACCAGTTGCCGTGGTATCACCCCCTTCGAGGGGGAAGGTGCCTGAGTCCTCTGTGGCTGAGCCCGTGGCTGGTCAGAGAAACGCCTTTAGTGGCGTCCCCCCTGTGGCGGTAGGTAGTGATGAGGGTGGCCCATCCACTCCTGTTGCTAGACCTGCACCCGGTGGTGGGAAGAGGAAGAGAAACAGAAGTGCCTGGTCAAACAAGACCAGACCTCACCTGTGCCACTTATTCCTGACTCGGAAGGGTCATCACCTTCGCTGGTATGCTACCACAAACCGGCTACTACAGAGTTCATGGCAGGTTGGCCCCCTGCGGAGCGAGCTGAGAAGTTGGAGGAGGAGTTGAATACCTGTGCATGTTTGGTCAAGTGCAGACAGCTTAGGGACTATATCGTCCTGGCTGCTTCCATCGAAGTTTTTGGACTGCGCTGCCAGTGTGGTGCCCCCCAACTCTCTACAATGGTTCGTATCCCCTTGGTTAGGAAGCCCTCACCCTATAATTCGGCTTTTCCTCTGGTTTACCTGCTTGGATATTGGTTGTTTCTTTTGTTTGGGAATGGGGATGGGTGCCGGGACGGCCAGCAGGGTGTCTCAGGATCATTGAGTGGGGGCACTCGGGTGGGTTTCTACTGTGCAGGAGGATATTGCGGGGTCACATTTAGGTGATAGTAGTGGATTTTTGTATTTTATACAGTTAACTTGGCTGGTGAGTACGCTGGGCTAAGGAGGATTTTTCCTTACCATTGATGGCTTTGTATTTAGTGTTCGTGTTGGGGCATGGTGTGGGCATGTTTGAGGTACAGGGTTGGAGGTTTAGTTAGTCCCTAGTTAGTGGTATCCAGGATGGGACAACCTGGGGGCCCGGCCCTGGGGCTCATCATATGCCAGTGTTGGCGGTACGAGTTTAAATAAAATTAGATTGAATTCTAAGTACTTTTCCTATTTATTACTTTAACAAATATAAAACATCTTTACAATCTTTATCTTTATTGCAATGTTTATCGTTATGCAGAGGAAAGCCCTTCATGAAGAAGAGTTAGAGAAAGCTTACAATAGGCATTCCCGATAGAAGACAAAGGTCTTGTACTATCAGTAACATAAGTAGAGACCTAGTGCTAGCATAAGACTAAGGAAAGAAACAGAAGAAGAGAAGTATCATTCACCATCGCCAAGAACTAACTATCCAAGGAGGGATCATTACACTTAGACAATAACTATGGATAAATCTTGATATAAGTAATAAATTTCTTTAAGCTTAATTTATTAAGAATGGATAGAAGAGGTAAACTAGTATTGAGACTATTTAGTATTAGTCTCTAATCTTTATATAAGTTTAGATATACTAAGAGGCTGCTTTAATCTACAGGTTCAAAGTAGTTTAGCTAAAAAGTTCTTACTTATAGTTCCTAAGTTTATTAATAGGATTGTGAAATATATGAACAAGTTTTCAGAGTACACTAATAGATACTTAGAGTACTGGTAGACTTTCCTAAATACAGATATCATAGTACTATTACTACTTGCTATTTATATTCCCTGTCCTACTACAATTTCTTACTTCTAACATATATGATAGTTTTTAATAACTATTGAACTCTGTTATAATGTTTCAATATAATACATGTTGAGTAGAATATCATATATATATTTCCCAACAAAATCATTTTAATTTAGTCCACACTACTAATATAAATCATATGTTAGTATAAAATCTATTACAATATTGAATACCTCATTGATATTCTTATCAATAAACATCTAGAAAGAGTGGCACACTATTTTGCTGATAAGAATTAAATAAAGAACCTGACTATAGGAGTTGAGCCTAATACTTAAATAACCGTAAGTTCTAGTATGAAAAACAAGTACCAATATATGACTGCATTTTGTAGACTTGGAAGAATTTTGTTGTTCTCTGAAGATAAAGTTATATATGATAAGAGGCCTACCATGCAGTTTACCTTTAGTTTGTTTAGTATCTAGCTCTTAAGAGAGAAAAGAGAAGTTCTTTTAAAACTCATTAATATTCTTCTTTCCAACATATATGTATACTTAAATGGTACTCCTTTCTCATACCTACCATATTATATTTGAAACTAGCATCCTTATTTTTAGTTCGCTTCACTTACTTGGAAAAACCTGTATAAGTGTGTCCAACATTTATACAACTCCCCACTAGGCAGACCATAATGAACCGAAAGTGTAGTAAGAATCCAGACCACTAATTTAAAGAAAATCTTATTCCTCTTCTGAGTTTTATTGTACAGGTTGTTGGTTGATTTAATATATTTGACGTAGATGAGGAAATAGAAAATTGGGAAAGATATATTAAATGGCAAGAAAATCATATACTATTGGGTGATACAAATACTTTATAGACCAAAGTTAGTTAAAGTATTTAATGATTATTCAATTATTATAACATATATCTGTGTACACATGTCTATACAAGTGACTCTTCTAGGACCTCAGTGACTATTCAAATATGATACTATTATAGAATTTATTATAATAGCATATTAATTATATTTTATAGTATTTTTCTTGTAGTACACATACAATTATTAATTAGTATAATTAACCTAATATTGTAATGCAATAGAGTGTACTTCTTTCATAATATTTAAATATTAAAGCCACCACAATATTTTTTTTGAAAAAAATCAAATAAAAACGAATTCTCATTTAATGTCATTACCTTATATTTAAGCTTTTTCTCCATTTGACTAACCCTGTACAATGCTAAGTAGTATATCAAAGAGTAGTCTAAACACTGCATATCTTAGTATAAAGAGTTGTATTACAATGTAGTTTGAATCACACATGTGAAAATATATAATACATGAAGGAAGTAGTAATAAAATTCTAGTAAATTATATATAACAGTTGTCTACTTATATGTAGAGCGGTAGATGGTTGATTATATAAGTTGTGCTAAGCCTCAACCTATCAAGATAAAGTTTCCTGCATATATGATACAGTACAACCTTAACCAGGTTATCAAGTTGAAAATATAGGAATCTGAAAATAAATTGCTGATATCTGTATTAAATTGAAAATACATTAGTAGAATAAATTGAAAAGAGGATGAAGCAGGTACAATAGGAGAAATAAAACCTTTGCAATAGATAGATTAAATGTAAATAAAGCCTCCTAGTGCTCAGATAAAATTTTAGATAGATTGTAGAGGTTTCGGGAGTCTGGCAGAAAGTTCCGAGGTTCAATGGATTAATAGATTGGTATAATGGTTCAGCCTTGACAGGAGATTTTCCAAATATGTCTTTCCTTTGCTATCATGGGAATGTATGGAGGAAAGGGTAACATGCTTGGAGAGATACGGATAGGTGCGGTGATTCATGGAATAGTTGGGATACATTGCCTATGTTTTACTCATACACCTGTCTTTACCAATAGTTTAGAGGAGACGAAGTTGTTTTTTCCTTACCTTACGCTCTTGTCCACATCCTGCAACAGTTCCTACATAGTTCTTCGGTTTTCTCTATCGCTGCGCGAGTCAATCATTGACTGCTATACCCACTCATAAGAGATTTTCTTGTGGATCAACACATGAGAGTATCATACAGGAGGCAGATTGGGCATAGGCACGATCTGATATGATACCGTCTATAAGAGTCGACTTGGACGCTGAATTTAGTTTACGCAACTGAACAGAACTATCGTGGCCACATGGAAGGCGTAAAAGCAAGAAAGGTAAATAGAAACAAAACATGACAAAAAAATGGACTCGTACTAGATTCACTAGGAACAAGCGAACAAACTAGGGTAAATTGCTGTACCACATATAACTTACACGCCCAGGATACAAGAGCAATAAGCAAATCCCGGAGAAGAAAAAGCAACTCCTTTCCATAACGTTCCATACCCCGTATTGCCAAATACACCGATAGCATCACAAGTCCTCCAGCTTCCCAATGCCCAACTGCATTCTCTGCAGCTTTAGCATAGCAAATGCCATAACCCTGTACACAACCGTGACCACCGCCAATGCGACGAGGTTCCATTTCGGATCCTCGTCGAGACCATACAGTTGTAATACCTGCTTGCCGGTCTCGATCGGGCAATTACCGCCAGGCAGGCGTTGGGATGGCGTACACGTGAAGGTGACGCCATCGAGGGAGTAAGGTGTTAGGCTGCGGACGGCATACCTTAGTGGACTGAGGTAGTTGAACGCTTCTAGAGGCGCTGGGACGTCGATGCTCATTATTCCGCTCATGAAGATCGCTATGCACAGGACTGTGCTTGTCACGTTGACGCTGAAGCCTGTGTGGCGGAAGAGGGTGTTGAAGAAGATTCCCAGTGACTCGCCGCAGGAGACCACACAGAGGGTGTAGTAGGTCATTACGTAGTACATTGTGATTGTGCGTGGGAGGCCGGCAACAAATACGGCGAGGAGGGAGAAGATATGGGCTGTTAGAATTGAAAAGGGGAGTTCGTTCGTCAGGTAAGCTAGGAAGAAGGCTGTCACGCCATAAGTTCTGTCATCGTGTTCTTTGTAAAAGACATCTCGTTCAAGGGGATAGAGAGCGACATTTTGCAGCATTCCTATGATAATATTAGCCGGGATATATGAAATTAACAATAAGATCCCCTACCAATAAAGTACAAAGGCAGGATCTGCTGTATGAAACCAACTCTGTTCTGGACACTAAAGTAATCGTTCTTCAAGGGAGCAAAATATAATGCAACAACGATACCCATCCCCACGACTTGCATCATTCTGCCAATCACCAACATCGGCTGCCGTCTAAGATTGAGCAGACCCCTACTCACCAATACAGGGTAAGCGACCACGAACGGCGCCCTCTCTCTCTTCATGCTTCCCAGCTCAGCGGGCAACGCAATCTCTCTCGCCAATTCCCCAGAATCGAGTGCTTCCTGGTGATCGAACCTACCAATCAGCCTTTCAACCACCACTCGGGTAGCAGCTTCACGGTCAGGCTGTTGAAGATCAATGGTGACAAGATCCAATGCAAAATCAGCAGGGTTTGTTGTGGAAGGGCATTCGTGAGATAGCGATGAGAAGTAAGGAAGCATTTGATTGGCACGGCCGGAGTACACAACATGCCCACCACGGGCAAGCAATACCACGTTGCCGAATTCCTTGAACAGATCCGAACGACTCTGGTGAACTGTCGAGATGATGGTTCGCCCTTCCTCAGCCAACCCTTTTAGAACACCCAATATCGATGCCGCGGTAAAGGCGTCCAGACCCGAAGTCGGCTCATCCAGCAGTAAAATCCTGGGTTCCATCAAGATCTGCACAGCAATCGTAACCCTTCTCTTCTCGCCGCCAGATATTCCCTTCAGAAACTCGCTCCCAATGAGATTATCTGCACAATCCTTCAACCCCATCTTCAAAATCACATCATCCGCTCGTCGTTTCTTTTCGGATTTGCTCATCGAAGTCGGGAGTCGGAGCTGAACTGCGTAATAAAGTGTCTCCCGCACTGTCAAATACGGTAATAGCGCATCGTCATCCTGGGTGACATAGGAGCAAAGTGATTTGATCACCGTGTCCGATGGCAAGGCACCATTGAAAAACATTTTCCCGGAGGACTTATAACGGGTTGAAACAGAGCTATGAAGCCGGCGTGCCATGAGATTAAGTAGTGAACTCTGGAAACCATTAGCAACCTACCGCTTTGACAGTAAACAATTATGGTACCTTGCCGCTCCCAGAGGGACCCATTACTACGTTCAATTTGCCAGGTTCGAAGCGAGTGCTAACACCCTTTAGTATCTGCACATCCAAGCCCTTTTTCCCAATGATCTTGATATCCGGTTTCTCAACTCTCAGTCGAATATTATCAAGAACAACTTCTATATCCCGAGTATCGCTCGCCCCATCGCTAGTAGCTGCCATCTTCTCCTTCCCCACACTCGTGTCCTTCTCCTCCCGCGGCCTTGCTCCAGAAACCGTAATATCCATCGGCTTAAACTTGAAAAACAATCCCGCAACGAGATAGAAAAGGAGCACCCAGCAAACGTTTATCATCACCGGCATCCTGACCCAGTCTCTTTGGAAATCCAAGGATTCGAGGACAAAATTCCCGACATACTCCAAACACGCAGGATTTTGAGGGGATGCATCCGGGAGTGGGCAAGCAAAAAATTTGTCCGTGAATTCATTTGAAACAAGTGCGCCAAATGAATACCAGGTGTAAGCAATGTACTTTGTCCACCTAACGTACACAGGTATAGTTGCAGCCTGAACAAAGTACCCACATGCCATGCTCTGCACAGTGAATGACAGATTAGCAACGAGGATTGACTGCGAAAGGTCCCGGCTGATTCCAACACAAACAGTAGCCAGCGTAACAGCCAGATATTGCGCGAGCAATAGGACTGCAAAGAAGTTAAAGAATTGTCCGGCATCAGAATCAAACCCACACATGAAATAAAAGATGACCGAGAAGAAAAATGGCACCGAGATGTCTTCAGGAAGCCTAGAGATTCGGCGGCTCGTAAGGAAACTGAGTACACCTACAACCCCTTCACCCCGCTCACGATCAAAAAGCTTGACATCGATTTCAGAAAGACGATATGTTTCGAAGAGAAGAATAAGGTAGCTCTGGAGTGACGCGGCGATATAGAGAGCTCCCTGGCGAGACCTGATGCCGGAAAGCGAGCGATCAATTTGATAAAATATCCACCCGGCCACAACGCCCATGCTGATAGCTTCCCCGAGGGTCCCTGCAATGCCTAACGGATCACGGTAGGTGGTCTTGAGAGAACGCCGGGCAAGAACCGATATCTGTCTAGAGAGGGAAGGTGTGTTTACAACGAAAGATACAGCAGTATTACCAGCTAACTCGCCCCCCCTGTCCTTCCGGTGCTTCCCGACGGCAGCGGCATTTTCACTACTCAGCACATTGTCTTCCCTCTCCCGCCAGCTGTCAACAAGACCCCTAACTCTGACGATGGTAGCTTCCTCCACATCTGGTGTTCTGTAGTCTATGGCGGACAAATCGATGAGGAAATCGGCGGGATTAACGTGCTCGGGAATGTGATAGCCAAGGGAAGCAAAGTAAGAAAGCACCTGATCTTTTTTTCCACTGTACATAGGTTTTCCCTTCGTCAGTAACGTAATCCTATCAAACAAGCCCCATATCTCCGAGCGAGGTTGATGTATGGTAGTGATGACAGTCCTCCCCTTTCTCGCAAGATTCTTCAGTGTACGAACTACCTGGTAGGCACTTGTTGCATCCAGACCGGTAGTAGGTTCATCGAGAAACAACACACTAGGATTGGAAAGTAGTTGTACACCAATAGAAACTCGTCGTTTTTCTCCTCCCGAGCACCCCTTATGTTCATTATCACCTACTCTAGTATCTGCGCATTCCTTCAATCCCAGCTCTAGAATCACCTCCTCCACGATTTTAGTATACTCCTCTCGAGTGAAGCCTTCTGGCAGACGAAGTTCGGCCGAATACATCAGAGTCTCGCGCACAGTTAAAGTCGGGAGCAAAACGTCTTGCTGCATAACGTAGGCATATCGGGGATTCGAATTGTTGAATGTCGTCGCGCCAGTAATGTGTAAATTGCTACCAGTCATACGGCCCGACATAACGTTCAACATGGAGGTCTAAACAGAAGACCAATTAGCAATGTAAAGCCACGACCATGTCCAAATCAAAATTGACTATACTATACCTTACCACTTCCACTACCCCCAATAATGGCGACGAGTTCTCCTGCAGGCATGTCGGCAGATACATTATCGAGGATCTTGATTTCCTCTACATTTCCGGCCTCCTCGTCGTTAGCATCCTTTTTGGACAACAACCCTCCCAGCCAGCCCATGACTTTGTGTTGGCTAACAGCAATGGTCAAGTTCTGGACGGCCACATCGATTGCATGAACTCCATGAAAAGATATGTGAGTTTCATGTTCCTGCCCCGGCGCCACCTCCGTATCGAAACCCCCATTATTCGCGCCAGGTTTATCCTCAAGAATACCGATGGTGAGATCGGAATTCTTACTCTCTGTTTTCTCTCCCACTTCTTTTCTCGAATCAAGTTTTGCCGAATTAGACATGCTAGGTATTGCGAAACTCCCCTAGCCTCGAAACCGAGTATTACTTCAGTCTCCCAACTGCTGGGGCAATGTCGGAGATGTCGTAGATACCCACCAGACCACGGAAGGGTAATTTCAGTAGTGGAGAATGGCCTAGTCTCCGTGGATAGAGTATGTCTGGAGAAACACAAAATGACACGATAAAAAAACCTCAGGTACACACACAGAACGCAGAAGACTGGGAAATAGCCCAAAAAAATTAGTTCTAAAGATGAAATGAGCGAGTGCACAGATACAACCTCCTCCTCCTTCACACCCCATAATATTTTCCCTTCCCTTCTTTCCCACCATTTTCCCGGCCTCTCTTCACCCTGCTTACACCCCTTCTCTCGCGTCCTCCCTCCCCAGAAAGCAAGGTTCCGGATTCGCTACAAGTGGTAATTCCGTTTCTCAAAAGAGGGGGTTAGATCTCGGCCGGGCGTCCAGTGTCGAGCGAGAAGTGACAATTCACTTGCCCACATAATCTGGAGTTGTACGTGTAACTTGGAGAACGACTGGGATAAGACGGGAAAAAGAAAAGAAAACAAAAAAGGATGGAAGGTTGAGGCAAAAAACCCCCGCAAACATTTCGGTTTCCGCGGGTTCCTGTTATTGCTGTCTGATCCACCATATCCTTTTCAATGAAAATACAATCTTGGTCCCCTCCATTTCCTCCATTTCCTCCCCCCTTTCCCTCAACAGTTGCCGTCCCAAGAGTGTATTGGGTGTGCGCGTAAGACAAGGTAGAAAAGCCATTAGTGTAATAGGGGCGATGTTCTTGGGAAAATGGAAGGAACAGCTGAACCCCAACCCAAACAAGGCAGACGAAATGAATCTGTGCGAAAGGAATCCGTGCAAAAGCGCGAAATTGTGGCTCACACCAGGCACAAGACCAACTTGGGAGCAAGTTTCTGTGGCTGAGTTGGCCGGCTCTCTCACAAGTGTGAGGATCGGTACCTGAAGTTCCGAAGCCCTAGCCCCCTCATCACCCTCCTGACTGCCGAAAACCGATACCGACGACAGTTAGGGCAGGTCCATCTCTGGTCGACTCCACACAAACCACTCTTCGAACGGGTGAAAAGCCAGAAACGAGAAACGAAATATGGCCGGCGCAGCACAAGCGGAACGCGAAGAAAGAAAGTACGGAAGGGATGGGGGGAATGAAGGAACTATATACCCATCGATATTTTCACCGAGGTGGTAATGTTCCGCGGAACTTGCCGCTTGTTACGGAACTTGCCGGGTTGCGAGATCTGCTGTGCTGTTCTGACTCGCTGGGCGCTGGCACTCTTGTTTTTTACGAGTCGTAAGCCATTCCAACTCTAGTGTTGAGTGTGGACATCAGAAACGGGGGAATACAGTATTGGTGGGCTTTTAACACCACCTCGGTGGGGGGGGGTTTCTCTTCGAGCACTCCAGCAGAGCAACCTTGATGAACAGCTCTTCCCCGGTACGAGTAACATTCCACCCCCCAAATTATTGTGCCAGCATGTCCCCACGTATCCGAAGCATGACTTCATCCTACAGGTGGCATCTCCCTCACTGCTCACAACCTGTCACTGCCCGGGAAAATAGGGACGAAGCAACAAGTAGAACAATAGTAGAACAACGATACTCGGGAATCTGCTTGGACGGCCCTCCGGTACCGTTCCGGACCTGCGCATACTGTAGTCATGCTCTGACCCTACCTTACCACCCCTCCCAGCCAATCTATTATACTCTGTGGTACTCGAGTATGTAGGCACAACCAGGGAGGAGCCTGGAGTGTCACCACAATGCTTACAGACAGGTTTTTATAAGATGCAAGAGATAGAATGCCCGCAAATTCCCTCATTGGCCCTTGCGACAATCCGGAAGCACTACCATACCAGTAGTTGCCCCCCGACCTCAAGCAAGGATTGTTGAGCCATCAAAGTCAAAACACTCACGAGTACTGTACAATGTACTCGTATACTCACGACGACCGTCCGTCACGAAGACATTGGATTCCTTGATGGTGATTAGGAAGTGCTAACTAGTAGCTTGTCCAGATCCCAACTTCTAGCATTTAATAACTTACAAGACTGCCCTTCTTGATTCGCACTCCTTTGCACGCCATGCCATCCGCAACATGTGATACTAATACAGATCCTCCTCTCCATCAGTAGCATGCCCCTTGATTCCATCACCACTGGTACCGTAATAACTCCCCTACCTCGTACTTATAACCCTAAAAATTTGCTCATTGGTTATTTATCCTTCCAGAACCCGAGAATCTCATGCGCGCCGAGCCACTAGCTCCATATATACATTTCCCGTGAATCGTACTGGGTACGAATATTATGACAGCGGTACACATTACTCGAGTACGACGTTCCTTACAACCCATACCAAGCGCGATATCCATAACACCGACGTCAAGACAAACACCCACCAAACACCCAACCATAATTCATCACTCAAGGGAAGGACTATAACCAACAGGATAAACCCCACTCCCAGTCTTTTATATAGCCCATCTCGCAAACCGCCCAGGCACATTTAACACCTGCAGCTGCCCGAGTAGTATTCCCGCACATCCAGCCCGGAAACCAACCACAGCTGCGGTAAGCAGGTCGGGAATCCCACACCATTGGGCCTATCGTCATCTCCACCAAACCCCCGATACTGGACTCGCTCATCCATTCGCCAGGCACTGGCCAAACCAGGTGAAACGGGTATTTCCAACCTGACTATTGTAGCTTTGGTGACGGTATTATGCACTCTCATGGCACAATATCAAAGTATTTCCAGGAATACTCGTTCGTAGACTAGCTCCGGGTTTGTAAGGAGGGGGGATGGTACGAGTACCGTATTCCGCGCGGTATCATAAGACCGATAGTAGCGAAGCGAGATAATGGCATGAGAGACTCGGGCTGGGGCATTCGAAATTTGAGAATTTCCAGTTAGCCACCGGTAGTCCGATCCACTCCACTCCACCAAGCTAGTAGCAGATAACGAGTGCTGTGCGGTGCCGGAAGATTTAGCATACCCTCGCTGTAGTGGGCACAACCAGGCCACGATAACACCACCACAGGAACAAACTCGTATAAGAACGTGCGATGGACCAGCCAAGGAGGTTCAAGAAAACAGTGCCACTCATGGTGCGAGCATGGCACGGTATGGTGATTCTTCGTACACCTTCTCTGCCCCAAATCCTTGCCGAAAAGTGTATCGAAGACATTCGGGACTCTCAAGCACTTGTTGCGCCCCCTGGCACCATCCCTGTTATCGTACCCGTGACCGCAATTTTAGCCTCTGGCTCCGAAAACCCCCGCCCGCTCGTCCGCCCGATCGCCGCACTGCCAGAAAGCCCACCCCAAAACCAGTAGCCAAGCACTAACGGACAACATACCGATAACAACCTGTCAAGAATCTCCAATCAGCACTCCCACGGAAACAAACAATTTTCCCATCATTTGTATGACAAAACCCTGTTTGCACTACCTCCCCCCCCACACACAAATTTCCAAACTATCCCCGAGCACGTCCGATCCACAAAGCCTTTTTTAAAATCAGAATGTAAACTGGACCGCTGCTGCGGGGGGGGGGCTTAGGAGAAATGAATGGGAGTGGGTAAGCCGCCCCATGATATCCGACGGCACGGCCAGGACGCCTACCAGTGCTGAGTGCTAGTATGATACTTGTGTTGTAGTCACGCATTTGGATTGTGAGGCAACCGTAATACCGGTAATCCGGCACTCTGGTAACACACTTGTCCACCGGGCGGCTTCTCGTATAATGGTGCAGCGGGTGTGAATTTGGCCAATAATTTGGGGTAGGGTGCTGAGGTAATGTTTTATTCGTGATGTTCGTGGTGAACTACCGTATTGTCTCTCTTTTCTTTCTTTTCCCTTTTCTCTTTTTCCATGCTGAGAAACTTTATCTGGCAAGTTATGCTTACCCCCTGATTAAACCCAGAACAGCGGGACGGTATGATACCCACATTTTCACCCCTATTTCCGCAATCAGGATCTATGGCATGTTACCCACTACCGTATATCATACGGGTAAATGGGTGAGGGGGCATTCCCCTCCTGCGACGCTACCACAATAATATTATTACTGGTATTATTCTACGCTTTACGAGTAACCAAGTACGGTATACAAGTACAGTACAGTATATGTGCCACCACCTCCTCTGCCGGGTCTTCCATTCGTAAAATACTGTACCCCTATTAGCCCGTCACCTACCAAACTTTCCAGCTCTATCACACTTGTCGCATTGTTCTGTCCTCGTACGAGTACAGTACTGGCGGTGCACCCACACAAGCAGAAACTTCCCTGTCTCCCATTCTGCGCTCAAACAATAGAATTGCGGCGAATTCGGTGAATCAATTAATTTAGCGGGTTGCGGACTGATAACCGGGATGCACACGGGGGACCGAGATTACTCATCTCAGGAGCAAGCCAACCAAAACCAGGAAAGGTAAGGTTCCGTACTGTACTCGTACGAGCAAGGAGCGGGCATGGATGTGTCAAGTGGTTATGGTAGCACACAAACTCGAGTCACAAATCGTACAGGCACTAGCGGGGGGGAATGAAAAGAGAAAAAAAAGGCTTAATCCAATTGATCCCTCGACAGATTTGTTCATGTGAATGCGATATTCAAGGTCTGTTACCAGTAGCAAAAAGGTTCGTGGTATAGAATTTTCCAAACACCATAATGCGGACACAATGAGAAGAGATGGGTGAGAAGGGAAACAATAAGTGAACAAGAAAGCAGTCGTTGTCATCAGGTTTATGAGAATTATCGTAGTATAGTGTGTTCTGGTCTCCTGCCCTGTTCTTCTGCCGGAATTCCCAGTAACATGGTAGAGGTTGTGTGTTGGGGGAGAGCGTTCGTTTCAACCAAGAAAAAAAAAGAGAAAAGGGAACAGCGCCAAGTGAGAAAAAGCAAGAGGGAAACATTATGAGAGGGTAGAAAACAAGAAGGTGTAGAATACGATTATGAATGGTGATTGTGGACGATAACAAAAAATGCCTTTTCCCCTCCTCCAGTTCTTCCGAGTTTAACCTTGCGGATGAACAAGCACCTCTGCTCCACCACTCCTGTGCCAGACAGCAAGGAGAGTCCCGCATTGTCCGCAACGATGCTGCACGTCCTTCAGACTCGTCATAAGGTATGGGATACACCCCAAACACGCCACGAGACAAGCCACGACCGCCCACAGACTTGGAGACGACAAACCCGTTAGCAAATAACTCCACCTCCCAACCTCCGCGGGCAGCAAAAATGCACAATTATGATGGGGAAAAGGGAACACCTACTGAGTAGTAGACCCAACCTCATAGGAGACGCTCGTCAACTTTCGCTGTCCACATATCGGACAATCTACGGGCGCGGAGCCCCTGGTTAGCGCGGGAATCGGTGTCGCTTGCAAAAACTGTTGTCCACCTCCACCCGCCATCGGCTGCTGCATCGGGATCGCCTGTTGTTGCGGGTACTGGTGCTGTGCGGCGGCGTAGTACTGTTGCTTCTGCTGCTCACCCTGGTAGTATGGCGGCGAGCCCGCGACCCCCTCCTGAACTGGGTATTGCTGCTGCCCGACACCCGGGTGTTGGTAAGCTGCAGTTGCGGGCGCCGCGTGTGGGTCGTAGACCGGCGCTGGGGTTGCGGATGTTTGGTATGCCATTGCTGTTTTTCGTGATTCTGTTTTTGCTTTTCAACTCTGATTTAACGATTATTCGAGAGCCCGGTCTTTTGATGGTTACTCGACGGAAGGAGGAGGGGAAGTAGGAGGACGGCTGTTTTTTTTCCTCTCACCTTTCTGTCGGGATGAGGCTTTCTTTATACGTTGGCGTGTTGGCTGCGAGGGTGTGTGGTGGTACAATGGCGCACTGCGGCCAGTGGAAGCACTCATTGCACAGTCTAAGCTATTTTCGTCCAAAAGTGTCACAAAGTTCAGGCAGTGCTTGGTGTGTGGGGTGGAAGTGTTCTTTGGACGAGAGCATGGGGCTGGAGTTGGTGGCTCCCGTAAAGAAGGTCGGGCGTGCGGGATGGTGAATTTCTTGTAAACCGTCCTCCCAATTCGCTCGCTGTTCTGGATTTGAATGGTCCCCGATACTTGTAGGATACGATCGCAATCTCACGCGTATGTGTGAGTAAGAACCATAAAATTGGTAATTCGGTAGATATCCAGTGCTTCCAATGAGGCAGTGTTCTCCTTTGGGCACGTGTCAGATGTATGATACTGCACGAGCAGTTTAGGATATGCGGATCACGACTTCTCAACCAACTGGCAATCTCCGACCCCAGCTCACGATACAGTACGATGGCGATACGGTACGAGTACTGTACAAGTACTGTTCAGCAGAACTTTCAAAGCACAGCCCAAACTACTACTGTAGTAGATCCTAGATCTTCACGAACTTATTTGATAGATCACACGAAAAGGATATAAAAATCCTCTTCAACGGCCCATCCCACGGAGAGCAATCACCAGTCTGTTCTGTTCGACTACTAAATGCTACGTGCTATCGGCGCAGAGCGAACGAACAGGGAGACAGGGAGACAACCTCGCGCTTTCTATGCGGCCTCAAAAGTCGCCCAAGCAAATGAAGCTAGCTAAGTGCTTTTTGAGGCAGAGCGAAACACCCCCAAGATTCACCCACCCCCAATTCAAGCGGCTGACCGGAAAACGACTAAAAAGTGTTGTGTCAGTGCGGGTACCAGTAACAGGCAAAGGATTCTTGTCATACAAAAACCCCCCCCAAACCAATGCTACCGTATCGAACAAGTACGAGCTCGAGTACAGGTACAGTACTGAACTACTACTCGACTACGTGCACTGCCCACCGACTCCTCCTTAAACAGCAATCCACCCCCCCTATTTCACTTTTGCCGCGCTAGTACCCCAGCTTCGAAATGTTTGACCTTTGATCTTCAACAGTACCGGTATTGCAAGAGAATGTGCCTTGGTTCATCAAGGGGAAGAAGACTTAGTTTGGGGCACTGCAAGTTTGTCGGTTTGTTCTCGGGTACTGCTACCAACAAAGCGTATCGCCAGAGTACTGTATCTGTGAGGATCAGGGAAAATCGGACGACTGACCACCAAAATCCAAAAGGGCCATTCCTAGTTTTCAACGTCCAAAACCGGCTCCACGGACCTTCGAAGAATACTAATGTGATACCAGCACGCATTCAGCCCCTGGGTTGAAAATTGTTTACGGTATGCAAGTTTCCTCGAGTTGAAGGAATTTGGTGTGCAAAGGCGGTAGACCCACTCGAAACTTAGCACCCGAAATAATTTTTACACCCGGGGGCTGAATGGCTCACGACGCCTATCGCATACCGCCAAATCTCGGCCTTTCTGCTAGGATTCAGGAGGTACTGTAGAATATGTCACTCCAGGAGCAGTGGTGTCCACCACAAACGCCGCCCCATTATCTCGAGTACTTGTACCGTACTGTACGAGTGACGCTTACAGTATCCGTATCTCACAGAACTACGGTACCGACATTGGTATGTACTCGTACTAGTACGGCGTGGCAGAAATGCTGATGCTTCGCTTATGACATATCGAGCCTTCTCAAGCGCAGGCTACCCTAAATTCAATCGGAAGTGTGACATAACAGGATTCTCCAGAACCCTTTTGAAGAAGAAAAGGCTCGTGAGACTAGGCTTATTGTTCCCCCCACCGATCCTATCTTTAATTGAATCGTCTCTTCCGCCGCTCCCCCAGACGCAAGGCTTTCTCGAGTACCATAGGGGCTGCTGTACCGGTACCACGTTTCCATCGTAGCAATACTAGTAGGATAAAAACATCCCCCCATCATCCTCCAGAATCGCGAGTGCTGCGTTCCTACGCTCGAGTGCTCGTACTTTCAAAGTCCCGTGCCCCTATATCACATAAATTAGCTTCGGTAGTGTGCAACAAGTACCGGCAATCATACACGCCCGGGTCACGATCTGTCGCTTAGATTAGCTCAATCCGTGAACCTTTTGAGGCCTTAGACATGCACTCCTCTTGTCACTGCGCTGCCATCCCTTCGTTCATCCCGGTTTTCACACACTTTTAGTGATTTTAGTAAGGGCGCTAAGGGGAGTCCTATGCCAATCGAGGAAGAATGGTGGCAACCATTGTGAGGATTTGATGGCTAATGGAGGGGAACCTGAATGTACCTAAACTACAAGGTTTGACCATACAGATAGATTTTATTCTTTGTATTGATGATAGAGATCAAAGCAAAACCCACGGCAAAGAGGAACTTTACAGTAACTACATTCAAAAGATGTCTGTCGCACCTTTCCCTTATGTTCTTTGAACTGATTATTGAAAATAGATGCACATGTAGGAGACTTCAACAAATAGTGACAGAAGAGATAAAAGGAAGAGGAGTGCCTGGGAGAGTAATACTGGGTTGATTGCTGAAGGGAATGGGTAGCAGAAGCAAAGTGAGCAGGAGAGAGGAGATAATTTTTGCCTACATAACCAGCTTGCCGAGCCTCCACTATATTTCCTTGTGGAATACTACAGGGACAATTTCGATCAGAAGCAGGAGGATTGGTTTAGGTTTATAGCTTTCATGCAAAGGTAGGATTGATGGACTAAAAGTCAGATAAGACTAAGTTCCAGGCTAGGCAGGTCCAGTAATGACTATAATATTGTAAGAATGTTGCATTGTATAGAGGATTAGGTATAGATTCTCAGACAATTAGATAGTAGTTAATGATAGTAGTATCCAGCAGCCATAAGAAAATTGGAAACCAATTTCTACATAGTGTTGGGCAGAGACAACCTGATAGACTTTAGAATTGTCTAGGTCAATCGAAATTCATTTCTGTAGACGGAGATTGTCTAGGAAGGCCCGGGTTCGCTCCTTTCATTTATGACTACTGAGAGCGAAGTAAATTTTGGTAAAGTAAGATAGAATCGTAAAAACAATATTATATTGTTAAGGTCTCTTCTCTGTTGCTTGATGATCTTTCATCAGCTTAGAGGTACTCCTTATATCAAAGTATTAAATATATCAATTACTAAAATAAGGTTGACCTCAGTAGGAGTTGAACACCTGACCTTAGAAATCAATGCATAGGTTATACTAACTAAACTAGTATATGGTGTCTAAAGTTTTAAGAGGCACTTCGATATTTATATTCCACGTCTGAGTGTTCACGGGCTACTTCTATTTATCATACCACTATGTACCTTTCTGATTATAACTTGCAACATTAGGTATTCTTGAAAGGTACAAACACATGAAGAACCTGAAATTCACTACACCCTCTTTACTAATTATAATATAACTAACTCGGAACCGTACTGTTCCTAATAGTTGTTATCCGATCTCAAGAGTCTTTAGACTTGTGACCTAGTTCTCAAGTTGAACTGAGTTGGCTCCAATGGTCTTCATTATTGATGAAATGATCAGTTTCACCTGCGGGTTGTATCTGTAAAGGTAGTCATAATTGCAATCTTTCTTGGTCGTCTGACTTTAAACCTCCATAACTCCTTACCCAACCAATAAATGTCTTCCGGAAGGCTTCCAACTAACTCGCAGAAAGCTATTGTATCGGGTTGACAATTATTCCCTCGGTTGGCAACCCTTAGTTGCTTTTAGGTAACAGGGTTTTGATCATTGTTGTAGTATGAAAAGTTGTCTTCGTAACTACAACATGTTCGGAACCCTGGTTACAACACTTCATGAAGTCTAATAACTTCTATAGTGGTGTTTCTGGGAGTTCTAGACTCTTCTAGATATTGTAGGATGGGTGTGAATGTATTGGTCTCTTATTAAGATCTTTTACCATTCAATACCATCTCTTTATGCAGAAATGTCCCATTACCTACGGCCTATGCCAAAGGTATCAAACTTTTGAGGCCTAGTAATGTTCTGGGTAGTTGGCGGATTCGCTCCTTTTTACTTCTCAGACCTAGCTGAAGGACTCCTCTTATATATACTGCGAACAGGATCCAGTCGGACTGACAGTGGCAACGTACACAGTGTTATTCTGATATCTTCAATTCTGTGGTATTATAGTCACAGGACGCAACTGTGATTGATATGTATGATGACATGTTGGCGCGGTAAGGGGGCCAGAGGGGGGTGTTGGAGACCAGAGATTCCGATTCTGTGTAAGGTTACGCTACGTAGGGTGACTTCTGGTTATTGGATTCCGGTATTCCTAACACATACCTAAAGTTGAGTACTGTAATAACTCCTCTGCTGATCAGTATTTTTGACTCTACCCATAAAGTCATTGTAGTCCACTGAAAACCTAGGAAGAAGTAAACATCATACTTGATCAGATCCCCACCCTTGCTCAACCAGATTCCGATTAGTATCAGTAATGTGATGTCTTCACCGATTTTGATAGATATAGTTTTCTGGCACTAGAGTAACTTCATGGGCTGTACTCAAAAAGCGAACAAGTGTCTTATCCTGCCCTACTAAAGCTAAAACATCTCTACAGATAATACTAGATACTGTATTTCATGATAAAGTAGTATTCTGTTAGTCAAGTTTAAACAACCTAGGATAATGAGCAGAATTGGTTCAGATGGTACCATGAGTACTAATTTGATATTCTCTAAGTGCCGTGAAGAGGGGGATGTTGCTAAAATAGTTATTACAGTAAAGTGTAAAATAGAACTGTTGTGTGGAGAGAGTTGTAGTAAGTTGAAAGACAGCCTGAGATGTTAGTGATAACTGCTTTCTTCCAGGATAAAGTGATAGCATATCGGAAAAGGATTTGGAGTTTGAAGTAAACATGAAACTAAAAGTATAGCCATATTTACATAATGC